TGAATGTTATACAGTGGTACCTCAGGTTACATATGCTTCAGGTTACAGACTCTGCTTACCCAGAAATAGTGCTTCAGGTTAAGAACTTTGCTTCAGGATGAGAACAGAAATCGTGCTCCAGCGGCACAGCAGCAGCGGGAGGCCCCATTTGCTAAAGTGGTGCTTCAGGTTAAGAACAGTTTCAGGTTAAGAACGGACCTCCAGAATGAATTAAGTACTTAACCCGAGGTACCACACGGGTGGCGCTGTGGGTAAAACCTCAGTGCCTAGGACTTGCTGATCGTATGGTGGGTGGTTCGAATCCCCGCGGCGGGGTGAGCTCCCGTCGTTCGGTCCCAGCTCCTGCCCACCTAGCAGTTCAAAAGCACTCTTAAGTGCAAGTAGATAAATAGGTACCCCTTTATAGCGGGAAGGTAAACGGCATTTTCGTGTGCTGCGCTGGTGCTGGCTCGCCAGCTGCAGCTTCGTCACGCTGGCCACGTGACCCGGAAGTGTCTTCGGACGGCGCCGGCTCATGGCCTATAGAGCGAGATGAGCACGCAACCCTAGAGTCGGACACGACTGGCCCGTACGGGCAATGGTACCTTTACCTTTACCTTACCACTATACTAGGTTTCCTGTATGCCCATTTAGAAGCTAGACTTTGGTAGAAGAGTATAGAGTTCTATAACAAGCTCCAAAGAGACATTCATCTCACTCTTACTGTCATCACTCTGATTATGAAGCAAAGTGTAGGGTAAAGCCATGACCAAAACTGGACAGATTTGAACTAGACAGGGATTGAAAATATTTGCATTTCAAATGGCAAATTTAAATGGCAGTGCTCTGGCGATTCTCTTGGTGTTTTAGAATTTTGATGGCTGCAGGACTGCACTTACCTTAACACTACAAGGTGACTGAGGCTACTGCATGTATTCCAGGTAACAAATTTCAGGTCAGTCACAAACACACAACTCTGATTCATCTTGTCGTTTATCTGTCAGACTTTGAAACTGTGGGTGAATGTTGTGTTTAATAGCCTCTGTGTAGTTCTGCAGTACTTGTGATGCTTAACTTGCTAACATTTATTAGCTGCCAACAACCTTTAATTATAATAGCCACTGAAATATCTCCCAATTAAGACACATCATTTAATAGCAGTTCAGAAAATGCTCCTGCCATAGAAAAAGGGGAAATTTAATTCTTGATCTACAGCTTTTCTGTTTCCTTTACAAAACTGTGTAAACTTCTGTGACATTTAATGCAGCACATTTAGGCAACATAATATGTAATAAATGGAAAGTGATCTTTTAAAGCTCTTACAAGTTAAATACAACTGTATCTAGCTGGAGTCATATTGTTACAAGTCATCACACTTTATCTTTCCCATTTACAGTTATGACTACTGTTTCTTTAGTGAGAAAGCAATATTCCTCTGCCCTAATAGTGTAATTTATTATCAGCCAAGAAGATTTCAAGGCAATCTGAATTTTATTACGCTTTCAATATATTTACATTAAAGATGCCTTGATAGTATATTGCTGCAGACAAGTAGCAACGTATTATCATCAGAGGGAGGGGGTATAATTTCCCTTCAGCAAAGATATGTTAGTGTTCCATACATAATACTGAATTTAGCTATATACCTAAGAACATTATGTCAAAACCATTCTATCTAAAGGTGTCTTAGAATAAAGTGAAGGTGCACAAAATTCAACATTTCAGCTAGATAAATTGAAAATAAATGTAAATGCTGAAGGATCATTGCTGACCCATTAATATAAAAGGACATTTATAGCAATCCCTTCTTCTCCTTTTAATCTGGCTGTCATAGAGATGCATGAAAATGAATTTAATACAACTAGGACTTCCTTGATCATTTTACTCAGGCTGCGTGCCCTGTAATTATATGAAACATTTCTCTCCTAAAGACTACCAGATGTGCACTTGATTTATTGTTGCACTCCTTCATAGAAATATAAGATGGCCATGCTGAATCACACACCAGATCCTTCCAGCCAAGTAGCCTATTTTCTGACAGTAATCCTCCTCGAAACATCAGAAGAATGGAATGTGGAAACCATTCCCCACAGCTTTTGACATTCAGAAGCATGCCAGCTCTAAATATGAAGAATTCTGTTTGCTGTAGAGGTTATTGTTGCAGGTTGAGGCTGCTACAACAGTTAGAGAATCAGTGGGATATGGGTTCGTATCTATACTCAGAGAGAACCTGAATGGGTGAACTTGAGGCAGTTACTATCTGGTAGTGTAGCAAACCTCACAAGGATAAAATGGCTGGGAGATCACTCAGGTATGCCACCCAGAATTCGTTGGATAAAGGGTGGAATTAAAAATAAATAATTGATAGTTTAAAAAATGTTAATAGAAAAACAAATGTTTAAAGTTTATCTAAAGCGACTTTTATATCTTCTCCCAGCTGCTTGGGAAAGGACTGCAAGAATGTTTAAATAACTCAGGCACACAGGCAAGGTCCCATTCCATCAGTTTTTCTCATGGAATCGGCACTTCCAATTCTATGAGAAAAGAACTATGTAATTAGTCCCTGCAGGAGCTGTTTGTGAATATATCGAATCCATGCAGCTGGAGAACATCTAAAGGGTACCTAAATTGTACATACATTTAGAAATCCAACAACAGTAGTAGGCTTAAGTACCAAAGTGAAGTAGCTTGTTGAACAAGTAGCATTTCAGTATTCACAAATGCTAACCAGCACAAATTGATAGAGGCCAATGAATGTTTCTCTTCCAGACTCGGCAAGAAAGAGTTCAAAGGAGTCAGATAAACCTGTACTTGGTTGTTGCAGGTGACTGCTTGCAAAGGATTTATGACTATGTCTAAAAGACCCAAGGTTAAATGACCAGTTCTTTGATCTTCCTGAAAATGTGTGTATTTGTATTTTGGGGGGAAGGGAGTAGTGATCATACTTGTATCTACCACCCAAATAAACATGCCATATTTTTTCGTCTATAAGACGCCCCCATGTATAAGATGCCCCTATTTTGGGGGACTCAGATTTAAGAAAATAGGGGAGATGGCCCAGTGCATAAGATGCCCCCTAATTTTTGACATTGTTTTGAAGGAAAAAAGCCTAGTCTTGTACACAGAAAAATACGGTATATAATGAATATCTACTTGAAGATATAATATAATAATAATAATTTATTATTTATTATTTATACCCCACCCATCTGGCTGAGTTTCCCCAGCCACATAGTTCAATGCATACAATCTGGGATTCAGAACAACAAAAACCACCATCACTGGATGTTCTTCATCTCCGTGTTGAACAGCACAGAAGCAAGGACCAAGACCCTAAGGTTGTATGCTTCTCTTTCAACATCTGCCCATACACCACAGGTGTCTGTAGCAAGGGGGCCTTTGCACATCTCTTGCATGCATGAAGACTTCCTGTATACAGCTTCCTATATATGTGCAAAGGCTCCTTTGCTTCAGACAACCATGCCATGCACACATATGCCATACCAGGCACACCCAGGGTCATGAGTGGGGCTGCTCGGCTATTCAAGACAGGAGTGAATAACAACAGAACTGGGTCAAATAGACTGAATAAGCAGAGAATCAAATTCTAACTCATGCATGCCCTCGACAAAGCAAATTTTCCCCAGGCTTAAGTTGTGATGATAAAAAAAAGGCATGGATCTATATTTCTTAAGTTACATAAATGATTTAAACATAATCATAAATTTGATACAATATAACATCACAATAAACTTTTCACATACATCTCGACCAGGAATAAATCACAACTATTAAGAAAGAAAGATTGAATATATTGGGAGAACTCATTTTCCACATTTTTTTTAAAAAAACCAACAACACACAGATCACTTCACCAGTAGTTTATCTCATTGGATGTTACTGTTGTACAAACACCTGAGCAAACAAGATTTAGGACACTGAAGGAAAAGTAAAATTGGTGAAACTGCAGCAGCATAGTCAGCACAGGGTTTGAAGCAGTGCCAAAACAATTTGCCACAGCCCTTCCTCTCATTTTGCGCAGAACAATCCAAAATAACAGAGAGCAGAAAGGTTCAGAGAAAGGAGTTTATTTATTTTATTTTACTTGCCTACTCCCTCCTTTTGTGTCTCCATTGTTCCAGTCTTTATCAGATAGCAAACTTGCAGCACTTCGCCATTTCCTGCCATAAGCTCCTTATTTTGTTAATTGCTCAGTACCAACATAAATAAACAGTTAGCAATCTTCTCAAATAATAAAATAATTCTAGAAATAAGATTGTAATTACTATTTTAATTGACTACTATCTTGAAAAGAGAGCTGAAGAAGGAAAGGTTTAAATAGTACTAGAACATTTTTAAACATGAAAATACTCCTATGATACACGTATGTCAGAACAAACAGCAGATCTTCATAGGATGAAAAACTTAACAGAACATTTTAAAGTCCTCCTCCATAGTCCCACAATGGGTTTTCTTGATGGAAATCAAGAAAATCAAGTATTTAATATACAGAAAATTATTCCATCAAGCTGTATGCAACACCAACATTTGAATACTCATACTTAATAGAAATATGGCCAGTATAAAATGCACCTGAATTATTTCTTCCACCCCAACTATATTCCTGAAAGTGAGTTGTTATGTTTGTGATTATGCATACATTGGTTAATACCTTTACTTAGAATATTGTTTTTAGTCACCAGAGATATACTTCTCCATTCTGCAATGTTTCCGATTATAGTTCTACAACAGCTTTCATACCTCAACAGCATTAATTTGGACACAAACTCACAAAGACCTTCTAGAACTCCCTTTAAGGTGAAGTAAAGTGAGTGATCTACCTGCAACTCTTGTAAACAGATTCAAGCCCATTTCAGACTTTTAGAATGCTGCAAAACCACACTAAGAAACCTAACAACTGGAAAAAAGCAACCATATCAGCAAAAATGGAAAACTAGCAAGAGACCCAAAATAAGACCTTTCCTCATCGTCAAAAATGTATACTGGGAATCTCTGATTACCTGTAACTGTTAATTCTGTAGTTCTTCTGACAAAAAACATTCCATATTTTAATTCGCACGTGTAATTTCCAATGTCATCTTCTCTGACCTCCTGGATAACAAGAACGTCCTTCTTGAATACAATACTTGGCCTCCAGGTTGTGACTTGGCATTCCTGTGCAAAGATAATTACAGTGCCTCAGTGACTACAGTCCTTGTACTTAAATCTGAAAGACTGATTCATTTCCAAACTAGCAAGCGTTTAAAAAGGTGGCGTACAACCAAAAAAAGTTCATTAGTTCTGTAAACTAGAAACTATTTTGGATCACGTTCAGAGCTTTTGAAAGCGCTTGATTTCAGTTTTTCGCATAAAACTATGCACCTAATTCGGCCAAGAGGGGCTTATTGTGCATGCTTTGTATTTGCCCAATAGCCAAGCTGAGATGGCTAATGGGTCAAAGGTACTGGAGAAAATTGCAATGCAATGTGGACTGTTAAGGAGCAAGGCTTCACCTCTGTGAATGGACAGTCCTTTACAATTCAGTTTTTGTGATTTATTTTTAAAGCATGAAAAGTTGGACTTAAGCTGAATGCATTTTATATACATTTGTCCTGCAAAACAGTAGCAGCCGGTGAAGTGTAATAGGGTGGAGTGATGTTACCTGGCTTCCCAACATGGCGGACGGTGCTGGTAACCAAGAGGGAGAAGAGGAGCTCAGAGCAATTCAACATTCCTGCTGTTGCACCTGCAGTGCTCCAGTCTCCTCACTGCCTCTCCCTCCCAGCAACCTCCACATGGGTATGAGGTGCTCAAGTTGTGGGAGATATTCATAATTATTTATTATACTTCTCCTTGTATTCTGAACTGAGGGTGACTTTATTCTATATTTGTCAAGTAAGATACCCGATGGTGATAATTAAGCAAAAATCACACGTTTGCTATCTAATTATGACAAATTTGTGACAGAGTTGTGAGATTTGCTGTGGCCAGAAAGCTGAAGAGAAATTTTATTGAGGTTAATATGGTGAACTGCAAGGATTTAATTTGATTTTTAAAAATGTATTAGTTCCTTTAGCCTTTTGTATTTTAACATTTTAAAACTTCTGTATACTATTATTTTGGGCATATTTTAACGTAAAGATATATTTTGCTTGATGTTGTTCTTTAATATTGTACTAGCGTGGTTGATATGACCATGATAGTCAAACAACAACAATAAATTACACCCCATAAACTAAACCTTCACATTGGGAGCCCAGGCAAACAATGCTGCCCTACCCTGTGCTGCCCCGCCAGCTGCCATTTCTCCAAAATATGCAATTTTTATTGTGTTCTAATCCATTTCACCTTAAAATTCACATTTGTATCTATTTTGTGAAACTGTGTTGAAGAATTCAGAAAAGTACGTAATCTGCCTGACATAAATCTGGGACAGATGAAGTAAATCAGCTTGCTTCAAAATGTGGGCAGAACTTTTTTGTGTCAATCTGTATTATCCACAAAAGTATCACATAGCCTCCTTTGGATTATATTAATGGGAGAAGACTAGTTTTAGATCAATATCATGCTGATTTGATGCAGGACCAAGTAATCTGATAACCATGGATTATACAATAATCCACCCACCCATCAATTCATTCATCCATCCATGGATTTCACAATCTATGGGTCACTTGTTCTATGAAACAAAAGTGTTTTTTTAAGCAACACAGAACTTATATCAGGTTTATATCAGCTTTCTCTTTGGTGAAGTGATGCTAATTTGGGCTGATTATGTAATATCTGAAAGTGCCTTAGGAAACATCTTGAGGTACTTTATGATTTTTCAAACATGCTGAGCAACCATAATGCTAACTTATTTTCCATTAGATAGAAAAAGCTCAAATAACTCATCACCATGACAACAGTTTGGATACCAGTCAGAGATTTTACATCCCTGAAAAGGTTAGAAAGTTCCTTGTACATTAACATTACAGTTGGGACTTCTGTAATAAGAGTGAAAGGAAAATGTTTTACAGTCAAGCAGACAGCAGTTAGCATTGACATCTTTTTTCCGACGGGGCTCCTGGGCTGTGTGACATGCAGAAATACTAATGGTAAAGATTTTCCCATGACTGCTTCTCTATTCCATCTGATGAGTTACTGCTAGATATGCAGTTGTTAAGTACACAATTATTAAGAGCAACAAAGGGAAAATATAGCTAATGTTGGGGAAGAGCAGAAATATCTAGTGGAATAGTCTCTACTTTAAAAATTATCTCATTTATTTCTTTAAAGGATTTATAATCCACTTTTTGAGCATGCATTATATGTAAGATGTAATATAAACCATATGCAATATAAAACCATTCAACATATTCACTAATAATACACTAGCCTAGAAGCCAGCACAAAATATACAATCAAACATGAGAAATGCAAATTCAGGAGATGTTGGCACAGCATCCCCAGTTTATGATCCAGCTTATATTACACATCAGAGGCCTTAGTGAAAAGGTAAGTCTTCAAGGCCCACTTAAATGCTATAAGGAAGGGGGCATGCATAACCATAAAAGGAAATGAATTCCATTATTGCAGGACCATTGCCAAGATGGCCCTGTTACAAGTGCCTGCCAGCCTAATTATCTTCACCTAATTGTCATTCATAAGTAGAATGATTAATGCCTTAATTATATCAGGAAAAGCAAAATATAAGGTGTCACTAATGTAATTCCATTTATGAAATTACACAACTATTCACGCTGAAGTAAGGACCAGCATTTGTTTTGGAACTATTATATGAATATAAATTAACTTCACTCTTTAAAGTTAAATATACTATATAGATGGAAAACCCTTTTAACAAACAGTACAGTTTTAAATTTTGCACTGTTTTGCTTTTTGGAAGTACATTAATTTGAATGCATTTATTTTTCAGTACTACAGGAGATTTTGAACACTATAATCCTTAAAATCAGAACTATAATCCTTAAAATCAACCTATGACAGCATGGAGCCACCCACCCTTTGTCCTTGTGCTGGAATGTGCACAGAGGAGGGCAACCAAGATGATCAAAGGTCTGGAAACTAAGCCTTACGAGGAATGGTTGAAGGAATTAAGTATTTTAAACCTGGTAGAGAGGAGGCTGAGAGGAGTTATGATAGCCATCTTCAAATATCTAAAGGGCTGCTCACATGCAGTATGGAACCAGCTTGTTTTCTCCTTCTCCGGAGGGTAGGACCCAAACTAAAGGCTTCAAGTTACAGGGAAGGAATTTCCAACTAAACATCAGGAATAACGTTCTGATGGTAAAAGCTGTTTGATAGTGTAACGTTCTCCCTCAGGAGGTTGTGGACTCTCCTTCCTTGGAGGTTTTTAAGCAGAGGTTGGATGGTCATCTATCATGGATGCTGTAGTTGAGATTCCTGCATTGCAGAGGGTTGGACTAGATGATCCTTTGCTTCCCTACAATTCTATGATTCTCAAGTTTTACATATTATGCAGTTGACCTAGGACTGCCAACACTAGCATGATGTACCATATTTATTTACCATGTTCAGCATAGGACTCAGGTTTAAGGCACTGGGAAGCAAGGAAAACTAAGCTCTAATGCTGCCACACATTTTTACAGCAGTGCCCATGCTCTCCCTCCTACCACTTCTTAAATGGGTAAGGGTAAGCAGATGCAAATAATGACATAACTAAGAGTGTGTAAGGCTACAAAACAGGGTGGCAGGAAGGTTGGCATAAACTAGGCAAAAACTGAACCCATTTTGAATCTAACCCTGACCTAATTGCCTGGGATCAATCAAAAGGGCCTGTGGTTGCATACGTGTGAACTACTGGAATACAATATTCACTATGCCTGCTTGTAAGCATCTAGGCTACTGTACATGTTGAGGCCAGCCAAGCCCAGATCAGGTCTTCTTTGTTGAGCCCACTAAAGGTAAAGGTAAAGGTACCCCTGGCCATATGGGCCAGTCTTGACAGACTCTAGGGTTGTGCGCTCATGTCACTCTAGAGGCCGGGAGCCAGCGCTGTCCGCAGACACTTCCAGGTCACTATCCTTAGATAATTCTGCAATGGCAGCTTAGCTATGTCTGATGTTTGTTGGATAAAACACACCTTCACACGATGAGCTAGATTCAAAAATATCACATTTCAGAACTAGAGAGCTAGCTATATTATTACTTTACATATTGATATATGCATATATAGCCTTGAGGATGTATGTGGAGAGGCAAATAAAACAACCAGAATAGAAATATGAGAGAGAATTTTGAATTCAGTCATTGCTGAATACAGAAATGGGCATTTTACTTTCCCAGCAAGTATTCTGCAGCCTCTCTCTTTCTCTGTGTCCTTATTAGTTTTCTAAATCACACCGAGCTGTATTTACTGTTCAAGTAAATTCTTCAGATTACTGGAAATGCATCAGAACATTTAATATTTTGTTGGAAGCAGCCAAAGCTTTTCATATTTCTTACCTTATACCACAGGATTTCAGGCTCTCTATATGGTATTAAGAAATCCTGTATGTCAGGGCATGAGATTTCCTTGCTTTTGCTAAGTTCAGCTTTTTCAAAGTATTTCATCTTTGAATTGTAGCAGAGGCCAGTGTCATTTTCACCCACTGTCAGCGAAATGGATACTTTCATACAGTAAGTAGAGTTTCTGCAATACAGCAAATAAAAATAATGGTCTTGTGAATAATAAAACAAAAAAGCACCAAACATTGTAATAATGTGCTTTTAAAAAAGTTACAAGAATCTTATGTACAATAAAGAAAATGGTATAGTAATACAGTACTTGCATTAATTTGCTTGCAATTTTTATTTAGTCACTAAGAATATAAAGAATGTAAAGAATATTTTTAATTCCTTATTATACGCTAGAGATATTCCGTCTTCAAATTCCTTTATTTCTGTATTTCCTACAGGAAAAAAAAATCTTCCTTCAAAGACAGTGGCAGTGTTAAGACGCATTAACCAGCAAAACTGATAACTGTCCTACTGGCAAACACTATTATAGCAGCTCCCAGGGCTGTACAAATCAATTTACAGCAAATAATTTCAGATCCAGACAGGAACCTCACCATCGCACCATGAGCTAGATTGTTAACCCAGCTATTCATCAGATCAGAAAAAAGTTTTTCAAGTGAATAAAATATATATTTCTATAGTATTTAATTAAAAAAGGTCTCGAACCTTCAGTTCTTAGAATATCAATTACTTGCAATTACTTTTAAAGAACAAGAACTACCAGCTTGTTTACCTTACAGCATAATCTATGCACATTTACTTTGAATAAAATCCAGAGTTCAACAGGACTTACTCCTAAGTAAATGTGCATAGGATTGCAGCCTTAGGCTCTGTATCCTTGCGTTACAAAATCAAAATCCTGTTCAACTATTATGATTAAGCACTCTCTCACAAGCTTTTCATTGCCACGTGTTCGTGGCAAATGTACTGCGAAGCTAGGGGAGTTTATCTTGCACTTCTCTCATTCCTATGGTGCTGAAGTCAAAAAGGGGGAAACTATTTTGGAAAGTATTTTGTTCTAATTTTGGTTTTCTCTGTGGGTGACATCACAGCATGTTAAGGTTGGTCACCCTCTTCAAAGTGTACTAGCATAGCCAAAGACTATTTCCCCTAAAGGTAAAGGTAAAGGGACCCCTGACCATTAGGTCCAGTCGCGGATGACTCTGGGGTTGCAGCACTCATCTCACTTTACCGGCCAAGGGAGCCAACATACAGCTTCCGGGTCATGTGGCTAGCATGACTAAGCCACTTCTGGCAAACCAGAGCAGTGCACAGAAATGCCGTTTACCTTCCCGCCAGAACGGTACCTATTTATCTACTTGCACTGTGTGCTTTTGAACTTTTGACCTCTAATCTGATAGATGTGTATCTATCAGATCTATCAGACAGTGAATACATATAAACTATTTTTCATTGCTCGCCCTTGCAGATATCATGTGTTTCAGTGGCTCTAAGACTTCCACAGAAAACACATTACTGTTCTATAGTTTGTCCATTTTTCAAATAGAAAATATGAAGGAAGCAGAGAAAGCCACAGAACTTCATTTACATAAATGGCAAATATCTAACTTGAAAATGAAAGCAGTAGCATACTGGTAAACATCTGCACCATTGTAATTTCCCTGGATATGTAGTGCCCCTCCACCTTTTCCTTGAGGGCAAGCAAGGACAGGCAATACAACAAATGCAGGCGTGTTTCCAGGCCCTTCTTCCTCTATGAACCTTCACACATGCCTTGTTTGCCAGCTGGAGATGCTCTCTGGAATTCCTACTAAAATATGTGCATCTGATCTCTATGACTACATGATGGACCAAAGAGCTGTTGTAGACAATACTTGCCTAGAGCCCATCTCCCTTCTCCTGAAAGTTTAGCTACCTAATCCCAGATGCATGGCTGTCAGTTGTCCTGTTACTTAGTCAGAGACACTCTATTATTATGTCTGGTGAGAAGTGACTTAACAGCAGGGAATTTGAAGGAACATTCATGTCTCTGTAATGTACAATCCATTTTGTTTGGAGCCATCAGTTGTTAAGTTCATTATGTGCTACTGAAGCAAAGGTTTGGGGAGGGATGTAACACAGTGGCAGAGCCTTGCACTGATCAGAGCTCTGGATTTATCCCCATCATATTCAGTTATAAGAATCTCTGAATAGAAACCAGTAAGGATGTCTCACTGTGACCTTGAAGAGCAGCAGCCTGTCATAGTAGACAAGTACTGAGGTAGATGGATTTATCATCCAGAAATATGAATTATCAGTAAACTCGCTATATTCCGTTTCTAAGACTAGTTCATTTGAAATATTTAACAACATGTAATATTTGTGCAAATGAATCTTTTCCATATTTCTCTCTTCCATCTTCTCTTTCTTAAGATGCAAATGCATAATAAACAACATTGTATGAGTGATTCATGGAGCCCAGTATTTTATTTATTTATTGCCAAGATGTATTTTAAAAACATAACTTTAAATCCCATATGAAACATTTAGCATTCAGTTTTCATATAAATGAGAAGGAAACTGCATTCTTTCCCCCCATTTTTAGTTTTGCAAATAATGGAAGAGAAGTACACAAAAGAATTCTGCCGAAGAGAATTATCTATGCTCAAATGTCTTAAATGCTGTTGTACATGCTTCACATGCTAATATATTAAGCTAGGTTGCCATATTTCAAAAAGTAAAAACCAGGACACCCCCAGATGTCAATTCTGCCTTTGAAATCCTGGTAACGTCTGGAAAAGTCCAGACGTATGGCAGCCCTAATTAAGCAAACTACAAAGCCAAATCTAGGAAATATTATTCAGGTCACAAAGTTCTTAATACATCTGAAACAGATGCTGAGGTACATATTTTAGTTTTCAGCATTTTGTTTACCATGAAACTACTGTGTAGAATTAAGAGACAGGCTATGACATTTTCTGGACAATGCTATTTCTCCATATTTTGGTAACAGTTTCATAGCAGTCTTTCTGGCATAAGCAATTAGTACTTCTTCATATTAAAAGGAAATCAATGCTGAAGCCACATTCTAAAGTGGAGCATGAACCATCACACAATGACAGAGACTACCTGAGGCAATTTCACTTCAGTAGGCATAACTTGAGGGCGCTGTGGTCTAAACCACTGAGCCTCTTGGGATTGCCGATTGGAAGGTTGGCAGTTCGAATCCCTGTGACGGGGTGAGCTCCTGTTGCTCGGTCCCTGCCCCTGCCAACCTAGCAGTTTGAAAGCAGGTCAAAGTGCAAGTAGATAAATAGGTACCACTCCGGCGGGAAGGTAAATGGTGTTTCTGTGTGCTGCTCTGGTTCGCCACATGACCCGGAAGCTGTACACCTGCTACCTCGGCCAGTAAAGCGAGATGAGTGCCGCAACCCCGGAGTCATCCGCGACTGGACTTAACGGTCAGGGGTCCCTTTACCTTTTAGGCATAACTTGGGGAGGGTGGGAGAGATAAATGCTATTTTCAACAACTAAATCAGCAGTAACGAACACACTTTTATCATATAATGTAACTTATGCTAGCAAAAGCATTCAATGCTTAATTTTATTCAATTGCTAAAATGATATCTAATGCTACTTCATCATATACCATGACTGACAAAAGTACAATAAATGGTTCCCCACTAACTTCTGATAAATGTATATATTCTTTGCTGCTCAGCACATACAGCCCTGTTTTATTGAATGATGACTGCCTCATGGGCTGGAGACAAATCCTGGATAGCACCAGATGCAGTTTGTTGCTCCTATGTTCACAGTAAAATAAGCATGTTAAAACCAAGCTCCCCCAATCATAACCATAAACAATCCATAGACAGTCCCCTATGCACTGAAAGAAAATACAAAGGGAGTTGTGAGGCAGATGGTATAGCACCACCACTGCAAAGGGAAGTCACCCCCCCCCCATCTACAGGTTCAGCTTATGTATGAACACACCTGAAGCATGTAACTAATGTATACATGTAGTGAGGACACTTGATTGGAGCTCTATGCATACATGTTGGCTGAATACATGTTTCTTTATTTCAAAGCTCTAGTCTTAGTTTCATTTTCTGATTACCAAGATTTAAAGCTGTTATTTATATCTTACAGCACAAAAGTGAAACCAATGAATAAATCCATAGAGTGCATGGCATTTGGCTGTATATATGAATTATCAGGCAGACAGAAATATTTACTAAATATTATTCCACCTCCCTGAAAACATCTACTTTTTCACATGAGGAACTTTGATATATGAATCTCTCTGGACCCACACGTGTGGGTGAATAACAAAAAGAAACAGCTGGCTCCCTGGCTTCAAATCACAGGGCTTGCACACAAAGAGCCCCGAAAGAAGAGTATTAAACTAACAAAAATAAGCAGTACAGTAAAGCGTGAGGAATATAGGTTGCAATGAGCAGATCACAAAGTGTTAAATAAGCTGAAAATGCTTTACTTACTGATTCAAGGTCTCAACCATGCATTGTTTCATGCAGCAGCAAGGATAACACAGGCAAAATACTATTGAGTAGAAAGTACAGAGTGTAGTTCCAAACATGTACTGTAAGTTTGAGAGAAGCTCACACATGTGCTCCTTGATGGATTACATGATGCACAGAAGAGATGGAAAGCTTCACTCTCCAGATATATAGGCCTTGATCAAAATATCCACCACACAACATTAATGCCCCCCCTCAAGCAGGTGTAGGGAGTCCCCAATGTTCTAGGACAACTATTGGGGATGGGAGCTGCTGGCAATTGTAGGTAGACTACAAACTCTAATATGAAAGGAAGTTCCTTCCATTTGTGCAGTGGTATCTCTGGACCAAGCATATTGATCTAACCCCATCAGGATGTATAATGTCCACATGATGCCAAATGCAATGAATGATTTCCGGAGTGAAGAATAAAAGATACATGGATTCTTCTATTTTCTTCAGTTTTGTGAACAACATGGTTACAACATGTAGTGTCTAATAAATTATGGATCATTACGAGCAATTTTCTTCGTGTTAATTGGAGGCTCTGATTCAAGTGGTTAAAATCCAAATGGAATTTCCCTGTGGGGTTTTCATTGTGTATCATAAAATTGGTACAAACCTCACAGTCAGTGCCCTTTTCAATACTTTACCATTACTAATGTAGCAGAGG